CTAGTCTTGAGAAGGCTAATAGCGCAGCCTCAGCGCGTAGGCGGCGCTCTAAAAGGCGTATACAGAAGCATGGAGTACTTACAAAGGGAGCTGGAGAGGATATACTGGCTCAAAATGAGGCTGACCAGCAGATTGCTCATGAAGAGCGTCAAGGAGGAGCGCGATCAGGCCTCAGCCAGCGCGCTCAAAGGCGCTGCACTAGGTGTAAAGCGACTGGGCACAACTTGCGCACATGCAACGCTGATACTATTAATATAGAGTAGTCTACTATATTAATATCTAGCAATAATATTATCGTGTTGTTAAGATATATCGCTTTGAAGTTGCAAAAGTTGGTGGGGTGACCAACTCGCTTGTCTGACCGACTCGCTTGCCAACCATGTTATTGCAAGGCTTATAGTACAAGATACTAGTTGCTTTTTTGTAGATTGTTTTGCTAAGGACTTAGCTTTTTTATTTCCTGCTATTTCTAGGTGTCCTAGGGCCTAGAGTAGGCTAATTATTGCGCCGTTGCTGTGAATTGCCTTTACTGCATTTGTGTAGTAGATTTACTAAGCTTGTCTAGGGTTGTTAGAAGGAGTCTTTAGCCTTAGAATAGCTGCCTAGTTATCTGCAAAAACTTAGACCTCTTGTGTTGCTGTAGCTATAGAAGCCGCAAGCTCAAAGGCTCTTGTTATGCCTTCTAGCTCTCTATTGTGTACAATCTAGCCTTTGCTAATATTATATTTAGTAGAGTAGATCTCTTTAGCCTGCTGTTTGTAGTTGATTGATTGATTGATTGATTAGTTTAACGTCCTGTGTGAGTCTAAGACTATATAGGACGAGAGCAGTGAGGCTGCTCTAGTAATTTACAAGTTTTTTCTGTATAAGGGAATAGTATATAACGTACCTCACGGGCTCGTGGATCACCCAGGCTCGTGGATCACTTTTGCCAAGCCCCCACCAAAACCACCCCATTCTGGCGCAAAATAGCCCACTTTGGCCCTGTATAGTACAAAGCAAGATGCGATATCATTCAGAGTCTACTTCTACTACCTTCTGGCAGGTACGCGCATTATGCCTAGTCTCTTTGCACTGTGTACACTATTGTTAAGATAGTTTACCTACTTCAGCGCGCACCTGCCTCTTTAGCTTCTTCCTATCACTACGCGCCCTAAAGTCCTTAAGAGCAGCTAAACAAGCCCTATCCTTAACTGTTAAGGTCCCCTCTGCTTAAACCTGCTTTCTTTTGTGCAATCTACGTCGCGTAGCAGCCTTATTTGCCACTTAAAGCTCTGCAATCTCCTTTTGCGCTAACACTAGCTTGTGCGCAATAATTACTGCTCCCTTTAAGACCTTCTTAAAAGCCTCTACTACAGATGTTGGTGAGCTATCTACATGCCTCTGAATCCTTGCCTTCACAAGCGTTAATTACAATCCTAATTTAAGGGTATTGCTTAGGGTTTGCAACTGCTAGGGCTTATTGCTAGGGAGTAGTAGTAATGGAGTACGTAGCTAGACATCAAGCGCTATTATAGCCTGTTCTAGGTTAAATAGGACTAATCTAGCACCTTAAAACCCTCCTTAGATATTACTAGGAGTAATTGCTGCATTATAGGCGCGTATAAAGCATGGTAAGAACTTAAGCTTTGTAATGTGGGTAATCTAGTTGCGCATGAGATTCTTAGCTTAGCAGCTATACGCTGTCTTTAAAGGCGAGAAACACCCTATATTAAGAGGCTGCAGGAGGTGTGATTAGGCTGGCGGATGGGTAGGGTATGCTTTTTTACGTTTTGGCTTATAGCTTCTTAACTAGCAGAGATACGCTTACATAATCTATTATTTGATAGAAGCGCCTAGTATTGCGCCTTCTAATAAAAAAAGAATTAGCTCATTTCGCCTAGTATTAGCTAAGTTATTAACACTACCTAGCAAAGTATACCTATTAATAGGTATGCT